TAGTTGAGGCACTGATTGAAATAATCTAAACAATCAAAGTATTATCGCCGGTCATTGTTGTTATATTAAGGTTCGAAAAGATTGAATACATGATACGATTGTTAAACATAAAATTTTGGACTTCAATTTAAAGACTAGGGATGTAATTAATATTAATTTAAAATGTGCGAACTACATTTTACTCCCGTGTTTAGCCTGTTCTACCATAAAAACCTCAAGTTTCTGTAATACTATCATATATCCTTTGAGCATGGTTAAACATTAAAATAACTAAAATAACCATGATTTATATCAATTTACATACACTTCCATTTTCTTCTTTTTTTTTCTCGGTTTATTTTTTTCCCATTTCTTTGACCATGTAAAATGAAAATCACTTAACATTTGTCATTTCACATTTACTTATAACATAAGTTAACAAATAAAATTTAATGGATGATTAATAATTAATTTTACTATGCTTTGAAAAAAGAGAGTCAATTAATGAAGATTATTTCATTTCAAAATACATGATATAGTTAATTTGAAAAATTTATTATTATGTGCATTAATATAAAAGAATTAATGTGAAGTGTTTTTTAAAACTTAATTTATAATTTATTTTTAAAAAACAATTAAATTTTAAAAATATAGACTGATATTGACCATTTACAAAAAATTGATGATGATATTAGTATGATAAGAAAAGGATTTGGTAGGTTAACTATGAGTCAAGAGGGTATATGGTAGTATTACCAAAACTCGGAGGTTTTATGATAGATTGTGCCAAAATTCAGGGGCTAAAATGTAATTCGCCCATTTAAAAATTTTCACCACCATAATCTCACAATACCTCTTACATCATTAATCAGGATACTGATATGGTCTTGAGAGTTTATTCAGTTCTGAAAAAAGATGTTAGTTAGATCATAAAAGTCACATGTATCAATATTAAAAAAGTGTCGATGAGTGGAAGATATTTAGCTTATGAAAATAAACGACGAATTAGCAAACTAAATAAAGTTTTTTTTTAAAAAAAAGAGAGAATGTTGATGGCAATCAGTACATTGAACTGTACAGAAGTTTGAATAATTTTGAGGTTCAAAGATTTAAATGCTAATAAGAAATGGTTGATGATGGTGATTAAATCCCGCCTTCACATATGAAAACCGAAACGGAAGAAAAAAAAACTAAACAATAAAATAAAAAGGGCACAAGCGTATTCTATTATCATATGAGGCCCAACATTTGTTACTTTGTGGAAAAAAGAAACTACAATTATGTAATGAAACAAACCTGTTGTGTGTCAATTCCAATCTGATAATCCACTCAAATCTGATGCGATTCCAATTTTGGTGATTACCTTGGTAGTATACAATTGATTGTGTCTCGTGGTATTATGTTGAAGATTCCAAAAATGAAAGTGTTGAAATGACATGTACACAAGTCATGTTGAGGGAGGGAAGGGGGATCTAATCTCCATATCTATTCTCTCATTCCACTCATCAATGATCAATCGTCATTTTATCTTATTAACTATAAATAAAGAGAATATGAGTGGACAAGTACAATTGGGACAAGTTATGCTCGTGTCCCCACCCCCCTACATATTTGATATCACAATGCAAGTGCCCAATTTGAGCACCATTTTTTTTCTTTTGTCTATATATATTCTTTAATGGGCTGTTGGTATAAGGATTTAAATATGTGTAATTGACTTTTTTGTTTTATTTTTTAGTAATATTGTTGGGATAACATAATTTAACTATCTACAGTATCCTTTTTTGTTGTTTTAAGGATATATGGTATTACATTGATGTGTAAAGGGATTCGTAAAACACGGAGTAACTAATTTTTTTTTATTATGCTTATATATTTTTCCCCTGAACAAGTTAAATTTAAGTGTAAGAGAAAAATTATATAAATTTCGTATCGATTTAATTTAACTCGTTGAATATCTGAATGTGAATTATACGCCGCGAATATTTTGAATCGGAGCCCCTACATAAATTTACAACTAATAATTAAAAAAGTTTCACAAGGAGTTTCCCATGGAGGTATGTGCAGAAGCAATCTCAAAACAAATTGATAAGGTTGATTGAAAAATCAAAAAAGTGAACTTTGGCGGCTAAAACGTACATAGCATATGGTAAGGGGGTACAAACTACACCAATCAATGCTTATCCAATGATGCAAATTGCAGTGGCGCAAAAGTTCATTTCTACAATACTGTAATTTTTTTTTGTTCCAAATGTTATGGGGATGCCACTTGAAAAAATGAGCAAAAAGATATTTGTCCCCACCATCAGAATTATCAAAATGAATCATTTTAGATTGACCTTTTCTCATGGATCAAGTGATTTTTATCCAGTAAAATGTTTCTTTTTGGGTCATTGTTTATCTTTAAAGTGTTAGTTATTCATTTTGTTCTAAAATAATTATTATATTTTTTGTATTAAATTAGAACGAAAAGTTGGATAATTATTTTTTGGAAGATGAAAGGGATATAATTTTTTTTTTACAAACATTTTTTTTTAAAAAAAGAAAACAAATACAGTAGATATAATTAGGCTCAATTAATTTGGGAAAGCAGCCAGGGTGAGAGGTGAGAAAACACTTTTCAAATTTATGAGATTTTTTTTTTAAAAAAAAAAATATTTAAAAATTAAAAAAAAAAATATTTAAAAATTGTGCACATGATGCATGCAAAGATTCTTCTGGATGCTTGCAAAAATTGAATCAGAAATAGTAGTAGTATTTTTAGAGGAGTTGGCATTTTGTGGGATTCCTTGTATGATATGACGTGTTTCGCGGCATTATTGAATCATTCATCACATCATCACTGATCATACCACCGAAGCCCCAAAATAATAATTAAAAAAAAGGTAGAAAAAAATACAATAAAAATTCCTACTTTTGTCCAAAAATAAAAGTCTTGTTCAATGTTCATTATCACGTTTTAGTTCAAATAAAAAATTATTTATTTCGGAGGGAAAAACATTTAATTCTGTATCATTCGCAAACATTTTGATTGGACAAATTTAAATCTAAGGAGATGTCAATTGCACTTAATAGTGATAGTTTTCAGGGAAATGGGTAAACTGTTCAAAGAAGGAGACTACTACACTTTGAGTTTAGTCTGATTAAATTGAAGAAAGACAAATTAACAAAGTTAAAAAAAAAACAAAAAATGAAAAAGTAAAATAAATAAACTCTAAACAAAATGATGTATTTGGAAGGGTAAAATAAAATAGAGCAACAAAACACAGAAGTATACTCAAATCAGAGAGGATTCAGTTAGAGACAGATCAGTACAATAGAATCAAAAAAACCTTGACCGCTCAGAAGTATCTATCAATTCCACTGGATTCCCTCCCTCCACACCCACACACACACACACACACTTGGGAAATTGGGGGAATTTTGTACCATACATAGTCACTGCTCCTATCAATCAAAAAAGTAGTTAAAATTCAGCCAAAAAAAAAAGAAGAAGAAGAGGATGTAACATGTCTTCCATAATTCAGGCAAAAAAATAAAAAATAAAACAAAATTGTAGCTTAGGTTACCCCCTAAGACTAGCAATAGCATATATAGGCCATAATTTGACCAAATCTTGGTGAAAAGATTTTGTCACCCTCTGCCTCATAGAAACCATAACTGTGGCACTTTTTGCCATTTGGGCAGTTTTGCATTTGTGTTTGCACTAGATGTGGTAAATAGTGAATATAGGCAGGCAAATAACGATCGAAAAAAATGAAGGAAAAACAAAAGGGCACGAGACAAAGCAAAATTGCTGTTATGGGGGATGAATAAGGGGAAAAAAAATGAGGCCGACAATAGGTTGGTAGAGACTCTAGTCAATCAGAAGAATATGACCCCATAAAAAAAAGTGTTGTCTTCTAATTAATGTATGGTTGGAATTAGATAGATCAATACCCCAATTAGCTTTTTCACCCTACCACCCTCTATAAATTAGACTCTTTTCCGCCCAATTAGTTTGTAATTAACCATCACCACGTTTCACAACTTAATGCAATTTATTTCAGTTGGAGTAAAAATGTGATAAAAACTCAAATCGGGTTAATTGTATCATGTCGAATTGCGAGATTTTATTGTGTTGTCAGAAATTGATACCGTTAGTTGAAGGTTGTGTATATCCATATAAAATTTTACCTCGTCTTAAACGGGTTAGGACTTAGGATAATATTTTCAAATGTATGAAGTTTGGAGGACACACACTTTCAAGTTTCAACTTCTATTCATTCATAATTATTTCATAATGACATGTGATGTGATGCATAGACTGTTTGCATTAAATATAATTTCTATCACAACAGCCATGTCCCATTTGCTTACCTAATTTAGTTACTGGGCTAGTAGATAGTAGATTCTACTCAATTTCACTCCCCCATCAATGCCCTTGTGTCCCGATTCTCCTTCATTTCGCCCAAAAAAAGACATAGTATAATGATATTTTATAGTGATTCTTGTGTATTTGTGATTGCACACAGTCAGCAGATCTATTATTTCTATGATTTTCTTACGATAAAAAATATTTATTCCAATGTAATTGCGGAAACTGTCACCTATTTTTTGTAACATATTGAAAGACATTTATTAATTACTAGTATTACCTTTTCACTATGGAATGACCTGCAGGATGGATAAAAAGATAGTAAGTAAATGATGATATATATATACATAGATCCTACCTATTCATTTCAGGTGTAATGCCAACGTAATACTAAAGGTTGTGACCTCTTGCAAACAGAATAAACTTATTTTTTATTTTTTAAATCGACATTACTTACTACTAACCCATTAAAAGAAAAGTTTACGACATTTTTATTCGTAAATACGAAAAATGTATAACAATATACTCGGATTATAAATACGAGAATTACATAATAATTTATTGGGATTAGACAACGTATCAACTCGTAAACACGAAACACGTTACTATTTGAGACTCTATATATATGGGTGGGGGGATCCGAACCAGAGGAATTGTCCCTTGACAAGTTGAGTCTCACACCTAATTCCAGCAGGCAGGCAGAAAACAAGAACAAGAACTCCTGGTACACCTCAAAAGCCACTCACACACACACACACACACACTCACACTCACTAGCTGTCCAACAACACTATCTATCACTTTCCCCCTATTTTTCTCCCCTCTATTTATTTTATTTATTTAATTTTGACAAGTTTACTTGAACCAAATCCTACATCACAATTCACAAACAGAAGCCTTTCCCACCACCACATTATCTCCCAAAAATATTCATTCATTCACTCACCACCTACACATTCACACCCCCTTATTTAATTCTTTCAGAAATAGTATTAGTATATATATAGACTCCTAAAAATAAATAAATGAAATAGTTGTTTCTTTCTCATAAACAAACTATCTAGAGAGAGCTACACACCCAAACAGGGCTGGGCAGGGGCGGGGCAGAAGAGGATCTTGAGTTTTTGAAGGAAATAATTTTCAAGACCCTTCATTTTTTATATACAAAAAAGAATTAATTTTGATTTCTCAAATCCTCTGATTTTCTTCCTGTTTATCTTCACCCTTCTGTTACTCACAAGAAGAAGGGGAATTCAGAGGTGGAAATTAGAAGAATTTTGGTTGTTTGGAGATGGATTACTGGACTCCATCTGTCAGCGTTGATGATGAATTTGAGAAGCTCGTCCTTCGAATCAACCCTCCAATGTAACATTTCTATCTCTTTCTCGTTCTTTTTGTGTGTTGTTTCTTCCTGTTTACTTGAATTGTCCCAACACGCCTTTGTTTTGTTTTTTTTCTCCCTCCCCCAATTTTCTGATTGAATGAAATGGGGTGATTTATGATGAATTCGTCATCCGCCACACAAGGGCTTGCTGTAGAAATGTAAAATTTGATTGCCTGGATAAGTAATGTTGTGGGTTTTTTTTTTTTGGCTGTAAATTCTGAAGTTTTCTCCATGTTTTGACTCGTGACCAGGGTTACAGTAGATAATGAATCAGATAAGAAAGCAACTTTGATCAAGGTATTAGAAGAATTCGCTTCTTCTTTTTCTGTACTGGAATTGCCTTTATTTTTTATTAACGTGTTTTTTCACGTGGACCAAGTGGTAAAGAAATTTTTGTCTGTCTTTGGAAATTGCAGGTAGATAGTGCTAATAAGAGAGGAAGTCTGTTGGAAGTGGTTCAGGTTCTTACTGACCTGAACCTAATTGTCAAGAGAGCTTACATTTCTTCTGACGGGGAATGGTTTATGGATGGTAATTTAGTATTTCCCGCACCCTTTTAAAAGTAACTAAGAACGGTTATCACTTTCCAAAATTTTAGTCTAATCTATTCAAATATGATTTTTGTTGCAGTTTTTCATGTCACTGATCAACATGGAAATAAGTTATCTGAGGGCAATGTGGCTGAAAGTATTCAGCAGGTGATTTTCAATTTAATTACTCTCGCGTTGTCTATTTTAGATTTTTGGGTTCAATTCCGCAAATATGGTTTGTGCTCCTTTTGGAAAGAAGATTAATTATTTGTCAGTCACACGTAGAAAGTATCGAGTCTACAAATTTTGGCCCTTTCTGCTTTAAGTTCTCCATAGACTTGAGTTAGTGTTTTCATACATTGGCTTAGCTTGAGTAAATTTGCAATGGAGATGTATTTACTTATTAGTTTATTTGTGTGAATTTTTATAATGTAAATCTTAATACATAAACCTTGTGTGCAGTCTTTAGGACCGAGGGGACGAAGCTTCCGATCTTTGAGGCGATCTGTTGGTGTCCAGTCTGCTTTGGAACACACCACTATCGAATTGACCGGAAGGGACCGGCCAGGACTTCTTTCTGAAGTCTTTGCTGTTCTTGCAGACCTCAAGTGTAATGTGGTTGCCGCTGAAGTATGGACTCACAACTCTAGAATGGCTTCGGTCGTCTACATAACTGATGAAGCGAATGGATCGGCAATAGATGACCCTGAACGACTGGCTAAGATAAAGCAGCTGCTCTTCTATATATTGAAAGGCGATAGGGACAGGCGAAGTGCCAATACTGCTGTTTCGGTTGGCTCCACCCACACTCAAAGGAGATTGCATCAAATGATGTACGCTGACCGAGATTATGATAAGGATGTTATGGACTCCCCATCAAAAAGCGACCGTTCAAAACCGCTTGTGACAGTGGAAGATTGTGCTGCTAAAAGTTATACTGTAGTAAGCCTTAGTTGTCCAGACAGACCTAAGCTGCTCTTTGACACTGTATGTACATTGACAGATATGCAATACGTTGTATATCATGCCACCATCATTGCTGAAGGTCCCGAAGCTCAGCAGGTACTCGTAATATAATTGATTTAGATGCACATTAATTGTTTTTTTTTTTTTTTAATTGCATTGCATTACAAGTCGTGGCCTGTGTGTATTAGTATGGACTATTCGATTGATTTGGAAATATACCCACTTTAGCACAATAAAGAAACTTTATGATTGTTTATCAGTTTCTCAATCGGTTATCACAATTTTTAATCGCCTTTATGCAGGAATATTACATCAGACATATAGATGGGTACCCCATTAACTCAGAACCCGAGCGGCAACGCCTAATCCATTGTTTGGAGGCAGCTATACGAAGGCGAACGTCAGAGGTGAGTAGTGCTTGTCAAAAAAATTGACAGATATCTCTCGTGATAACGTGGTCTCTCTTTAACCATGCTTTTGGCCCAACTCTTTTTCGGTGCTCTGATGTACACGTTTATGGCAGGGTATCAGACTAGAACTATGCGGCGAGGACAGGGTTGGCCTTCTCTCTGATGTCACGCGCATATTTAGAGAGAACGGGCTTTCGGTTACTCGTGCTGAGGTGACGACAAGGAACAATCAAGCTGTCAATACATTTTATGTGACGGATGCATCAGGCTATCCTGTGAAAAACGAGACAATCGAGGCCATCCGTAAAGAAATAGGTATTACAATCCTGCGTGTAAAAGATGAAGCGTACTCAACTTCTCCACCTCAACAGTCAGGAAAGTTCTCTTTGGGCACCTTATTTCGGTCTAGGTCCGAGAGGTTTCTTTACAACTTAGGACTGATTAGATCTTGTTCATAAGCGCCGAAAATGGCTTAATTAGGTTGTGTTAAAAAACAATGCCAGTAAATCCTTGTATGTGTATACATAGGATTAGTGGTAGGCGCGAATTATCGTGCATGCTTTTGATCAACTTAGTGTGTTGATCACAAATTGTGTATCCTGTGAAAAAGCCTTGTAAATGCTCCAGACAGATATGTACATTCCCTTCCTGTTGTCTTTATAGGTCTTTGGTGAAAACAGTGTAAATATTAAAAAAGTCTTTCCTGGATCATTTCTTTGTTTAATTAGCTGCTAAGTACATTGAAAAGTAAGCATGAATGGATGATACTAATGTTTTAGGAGGCCATGAAGAATCTCATGCGGATCAAATGGTCTCCTGAAATACATGTTAGTCTGTCCTCCAAAACAAAATGAAGTGAAACATGTAAAACGCATCATGAATCAGAGGAATATTTTGGATCATTACTGGAATTCAGGATTAAGACTTATGAGCTTGCATTTTTAAGCCTGATAACTTCTTCAAGCTCTTAACTATTATAACTGCTGACGGAGCCAAGCCGGAGCTCCCCGGCACCACCACATGACACTGTGTCACCCGTCGCTGTCCTCCAGAGGCGGCGGCGGTGTTAATAGAGAGAAAACACCATGGTAGCAGTAGCCAGGCTAGCTGGCGGGCTGTGAAGGCAGTACTAGTCATTGTAGGCCAGTCACAATTACGTTGGGCCCGCATTTCTGCGTTTATTCAGTCAGGCCCGGGTCAACTTGGAACGTTGGTCCACCACCCAGAAAAAAGTCACATGCCGTGGATTCTGTCGAATCCATCTCGATCCACGTGCAGCCCGATCGATCTATTTAGAGGTCGTAATTATTGATCGCTGTAAAAGGCATATTCCAATCCGACCAGCCCACGCCTTAGCCCAATCCTACCCGTCTTCATCATTGATTCATTATTTTGCATTTACCTCCGAATCCTGTCATTCCCTTTTTCTCTTCTGCATTCAAAAACCTTTTGAAGATTCTGCAATTTCGGCTTGCATTCCTATTGATTGTAAAACACCTTTCAAAGCATCCATCATTCATATCTTGTAATTTTCTGGGCGGAGAAAACAGATATTTCCTACCTTTCATTTGCTCACATTATCATTCTCGTTCATCTGATAATGGAGTTTGAAAATTTTGATTACCTTCTTTTCATTGTGATATCAATATTCTTAATCAAATGAGCTTAACAAATAAAGACGTAACTCGTAAATAGTTGTATTTACTTTTACGATTAGGGTTTGGTAAATTGTTCAATATGTGTATAAATATATCCCTGTATACATCAATACAAGTGTGATTTTACCAATTCTTTATGGTATCACGAGACTAAGTTTCTCCGAACCCTAAAACTCTCCCCTATTCGGCGGCTGTTTCACACCTTCTTTCTCCGCCGCCTGCTCAAGCTTTTCTGTCCGACGATGGCTGACAAAACCGCCGGCTCTTCGGACACGGTTCCGGCTGACCACACCAGACCTGCACCTCCTCTGTTTCACTTCTACATACTACGGCAAACTCAAAGCAACCTAGAACGAACTCCAGAATTTGCGCCCCTTTCCTGCTTGTGAATGCGGCGGCTGTACGTGTGATCTGAACAAGCAGCTTCAAAGCTTGACTGAGGAGGAGAATGTTTTCGATTTTCTGATGGGCCTTGATGATACCTACAAGACGGTCCGTTCCCAGATTCTTGCTCTCGATCCTCTTCCTACACTCGGCCGGGCGTATGCCATCGTTGCTACCGACGAAAAACAACGCCGCTTCGCCGATTCTCGGCTTCCAATTGTTGAAGCTGCCACTCTGGCCGTGAAAAGTTCCCCGGCCCGTCAAGCTTCTCGCGATTTTGCCGGCGCGAAGTCTCCCTGCAGCCACTGTGGTAGATTGAATCATTCCCGGGATTCATGCTATGCTCTTGTCGGGTACCCCCCTGGTTGGCGCAAACCTTGACAGAAACGGGAAGTGCAGTCTCCATCGCGTGGTTCGGTTTCCAACCTCGTTGCTCCTGCTGATCCGGTGTTGCCTCCGCCTTTATCTGCTCCCTTGGCTTCATTATCCGCCGCCCAACTCTAGCAATTATTCCAAATGCTTGGCCAACAAGTCTCTTCCGACGTTGCTAAGTCTTCCACTGCTAATCAATTGTCTTCCACGGGTAAGCCGGCTGCTTGGGTGTGTGATTCGGGTGCTACCGATCATGCTTCCAATCAGTTGCAATCTATGACGGATGTCAATTTTCCTCAGGGTTCTCTTTCTGTTCAAATTCCTAATGGTACACAGATTCCCGTTCAAGCAGTTGGTCGAATTAAACTTGATGACTCTTTACACCTGGATAATGTTTTGGGCGTGCCTAATTTTCATTTCAACTTGCTCTCTGTTAGTCGGTTGACAAGAGATTTGAATTGTTTTTTCACTTTTGGCCCTGATTTATTTTTCATACAGGATTTAACCTCGAGGAGGCTGATTGGAATGGGTAAAGTGCGCGATGGATTATATTACCTCGAGCACATGTAATGTTGGTGGTGCGAAGCGGATTCTTCTGTTTGCAAAGGAGATACAACAACTCTCTGGCATCGCCGGTTGGGGCATCTGCCGGTTACCCGTCTTTCTTTAATTCCTAGCATTTCCGTTGTTTTTAATCCTTCCAGCACCTCTGCCTGTGATGCATGTTGTCGTGCTAAACAAACTCGTTTACCATTTCCTTTGCATCAAAATAAAAGTTTGAATATTTTTGATTTAGTGCATTGTGATATTTGGGGACCTTATCCCACTTCGTCTAAATTTGGTGCGTATTATTTCCTTACTATTGTTGATGATTACAGTCGGGTCACTTGGGTTTTTCTTATGCGCTCCAAATCTGAAACTAAGCGCTATTTGTTACTATTTTTTAACTGAGTTAATACACAGTTTAATGCCAAAATTAAAGTTTTTCGTATTGACAACGGTCTCGAATTTTCTCATTCTTCCTTGTTGTCTCATATTTTTGATCATGGGATTGAAAAACAAACCAGTTGTCCTCATACCCCGCAGCAAAACGGGGTAGTTGAGCGCAAACATAGGCATCTCTTAGAAGTTGCACGGGCCTTGCGTTTTCAGGCAAATTTGCCAATTGATTTTTGGGGGGAATGTATTCTTACGGCTGCATACTTAATTAATCGTATGCCCTTATGTGTTGCAAAATAAGACCCCTTATGAACTTTTATATGGCCATCCACCTTCCTATGATCATTTGCGTAGTTTTGGTTGTTTGTGTTACGCTCATGTTTCTGCCAAACCTCGGGACAAATTTGCCTCTCGTGGTTGTCCGGGAATTTTTATTGGTTACCCACAGGGTCAAAAGGGGTATCGGGTTTATGATCTTGATCGCCGGGTAATATACACTTCCCGCGATGTCATTTTCTTCGAAAATATTTTTCCTTCCACTACCCCTCCTTCGCCTCCTACCCCACCCGTTGCGGTTGATCTTACCTATTCTTCCGCTGATCCATTTCCTCCTGTGGTTCCGACTGTGTCTCTGTCATCTCCTTCCTCTGATATCTCTTTAGATCCACCATCTTCTTCCTCCTCCCCTATGACGGATGCCCCTCCTCATCCTTTGAACCTTCCCTCTAAGCGTACCCGACAGGTTTCTCAGCGCCTCACTGGATATCACTACACTTTGCCACCTTCTTTGCAGTCCGGTCATAATCCATCGTCGCCCTCTGCCTCTCCTTCGGTCAACTCGACGGTACATCCTCTCTCTCACACTTTGTGCTATTCTAGCTTTTCTAAAGCTCACACTGCCTTGTTAGCAGCCATTTCTTCTGTGGATGAGCCCACGAGTTTTTCCCAGGCAGTCAAATATGCACACTGGCGCGATGCTATGGCCAAAGAAATCTCGGCTCTTGAGGCCAATCATACTTGGAAGCTCGTTCCTTTGCCTCCTGGTAAGCGAGCCATTGATTCTAAATGGGTGTACAAGGTTAAGTTTCTTCCTGATGGCCGGGTTGAGCGCTACAAAGCCCGTCTGGTTGCTAAAGGCTATACGCAGATTGAAGGAGTTGATTTTCATGAGACTTTTGCTCCTGTTGCTAAATTGGTTACCGTTCGTTGTCTCCTTGCTGTTGCTTCCATCCGTCATTGGGAACTTCATCAGCTCGATGTTACTAATGCCTTCCTTCATGGTGATCTTCATGAGGAAGTATACATGAAAATTCCTCAGGGCTTTTCCACAAAGGGGGAGCAACGTGTCTGTCGTCTTCAAAAGTCTCTATACGGTTTGCGTCAAGCCTCTCGGAATTGGTATCAGAAATTCACTCAGTCACTGGTTTCTGCTGGATTCAAGGAGTCCTCTTCTGATTCTTCTCTATTTATCTACAGTAGTGGGTTTTCTTTTATTGCTGTTTTCATATATGTCGACGATATAATCGTGGCTGGTAATGATTCCCTTAAGATTGGTCGACTTAAGAGGTATCTTCATGGTCGTTTTCATATTAAGGATCTTGGCCCCCTTAAGTACTTCTTAGGCATTGAGGTAGCCCGATCTTCTGCTGGGATTGCACTTAGTCAAAGAAAGTACACACTTGACATACTCACTGAATGTGGACTTACTGGTTGTCGTCCGAGTTCCACTCCAATGGAACAACAACATGGCTTGGATCTTGATTCCGGGACGTTGTATGATGATCTTGGTCGATACCTACGTATTGTTGGTCGTCTTCTGTATTTGACCATTACACGTCCGGACATTTCTTATGCGGTCCATGTCTTTAGTCAGTTCATGCATAAGCCACGTCAGCCATATTTCGATGCTGCAATGCGCGTCATGCGCTGCTTGAAGACAGCGCCAGGGCAAGGAATATTCTTGCCATCTGATAGTTCTTTGCATCTACGTGCATATTGTGATGCTGATTGGGCCGGATGTCCTACTACCCGACGATCCACCACAGGGTATATTGTCTTCTTGGGTATGTCTCCGCTTTCATGGCGATCCAAGAAGCAGACAGTTGTTTCATGTTCTTCAGTAGAAGCAGAATATAGAGCTATGGCGGTAGCTACCAGTGAGCTTGTGTTGTTAGTACGACTTCTGATTGAGTTGGGAGTTCCTTCAGATAATCCAGTTCCTTTATTCTGTGATAATCAGGCGGCACTACATATTGTTGTTAATCCGGTTTTTCATGAGCGTACTAAGCATATTAAGATTGATTGTCATTTTATTCGACAGCATTTTCAGTCGTAACTTCTGGTGCCTCGACCGATTTCTTCTGCTTTGCAGCTGACAGACTTGTTTACCAAGGCTTTGGGTCGGGATAGGTTTCATACTTTGCTTAGCAAGTTGGGCATTAAGAATCTACATGCTCCAACTTGAGGGGGAGTAAAGACGTAACTCGTAAATAGTTGTATTTACTTTTACGATTAGGGTTTGGTAAATTATTCAATATGTGTATAAATATATCCCTGTATACATCAATACAAGTGTGATTTTATCAATTCTTTAACAAACAAGCGTTTAAGATTCTCAATGTCCAAATTGCGACTCCATTATCTGCAACAAGTCTTTGTTTTTTGTTTTTTTTTTTGCTTTCCTTTCTTCGTGTAATGCGTTTCTTTCCTTTCTTCTCACACTATGAGAGTAAGAGGAGTATTGAAAGCTCCAATCCACGTGTATGGCGATTCTTCTACAGTTTCATACTCTAGAACTTCCTAAATTCTGATTTCAATCTACAACAAAAACAGAAAAATATGACGTAGCCTCACCCTTCAGATATCATCTTACAGCCGGACCTGAATAGACATCTCACATTCTCATTGCCTGTATTCAGATTTTACCCCGTTGGAGCAACGAACAAAACTACATTTTCTTGAAAAGCAAGAAAAACAAAAGTCATGCAAACAAAAGTGCTGCCAGAACAAACCAAAATCTCGATAAAAAATGGCAATTCCATGAGGAACTAAACTAAAACCTTGATGGATATAACATTGTTTCAGTAACAAAAGAAATACACCAAGATGGTTGTAAACTCTGTCATAACGCAGCTCCAATGACAGCCGTAAAAAGGCCAACAGGAACCCACTAAGGCTCAGAAGGCAAGCAAAAACAGTCCTCTATATAATAAAAGCATAGCCGCATAATGTTGGTTCAAGCGCACTTAGAACTATACTACAGGAAACAAGATCTCTTGTCTTACACCAATGGCAGCTCACCGCAGTCACTGACGGTAACCTTCTTTAAAGGCCGATCGCCTCTGTCAGTTTCCTGCGACTCGACCAACTTGACAATATCCATTCCCTCCAAAACTTGCCCAAAAACAACGTGCCGCTTGTCCAGCCATGGTGTCTATCATTTGCCAAACAAAAACATCAGAACTTTGACCCAAACTCAGCGAGTATCTCACTCAGATCAATTTATTTTCTTCTGACTATCGCACTACTCCATTAATCTGGGTTATTAAACATATTTTTATCACTACGGCTAATGCTTGGCCACGCTAAACGGCAGCAATACCATAATCTAATACAGACTTTTGAGACTCTAATTACTTTTCAGACACCAGAATTACATGTACGTCCAATAGATTGAGTTGCGTTGATTGCCTATTATTATATCATTAAGAATATCCCACTATTGGAAAATATCTAACAGGTAAGACGTCTGGTGATACTTTAATAAAGAAAAAGATGTTCTCCAATTCCTCTTTCAACGTACCTTAACAGTACAGATAAAGAATTGACTCCCATTCGTGTTAGGCCCAGCATTTGCCATGCTAACTATTCCAGGTCCAGTATGAGTCACTGCAGAATCAAACAATGTAAGATCTCAAAGATAGGACTTTCTATTGTACTAAAGCATTGCCTAATGGAAAAGAGATACATACAGTTGAAATTTTCATCTTTAAATGTGCGCCCATAGATACTCTTACCACCAGTACCCTGAAAGAAAGAGAAGCTTCAATAATGAATCAAACACAAAGTCCACCAATACCTATGAGCAATTTCATATGAAAAGCAGATATGCAACATCTCACTTATCTCTGGCTGTTGGCAATTCAACAACAGAATAAGCCATGATTTTGTTATTCCATATGGCGAGGCCAGGGTCATTATGATAGATTAATTGCACCCCTAAGTTACTCCACACAAAGTGGAATTCGAAGTTGATAAACGCACATTACCAGGAATGGCAACACTATAATGGTGAGTACAGATGTTAATAGCAACTTAAAATATATTTTCCATTTCCTGTATCAGAAGTATTTTGAGCTAGACAAGTAATGATAGATTTTCTACTGAGATGAATTTCAACAGTTCTGAAAAGCGAACACTTACATTGCCCTTGTCAAAGTCTCCTCCCTGAATCATGAAATCCTTAATAACACGATGAAAACTGGACCCTTTGTATCCAAAACCCTTTTCACCTGATGAGAATACAAAACAGAACCACATTAGATCATTAAAGAAAAGAAATAGATAGAAACCCATGCATGGAGCATAAACAAAGTGAAGCAAACCTGTGCATAAAGCACGGAAGTTCTCTGCAGTTTGTGGCACATCGTCACCATACAGTCCAATCACAATCCTCCCAGCAAGCTTCCCTACTGGATTCCCAATGCTTATGTCAAAATACACCTTGTTGGTCACCTTTGACTGCAATGCGGCAACTTCCTGAATTTGATTTAAATTTCCAAGCTTGTAAGGATAATCACAACATTCTTTCTACTCAAAATAATCACAAAACACGACAACTTTTCTATTCATATTTCATAGTCAACCAAATGCAACCCCTCCATTATCTGAACTCTAGCCTAGCCATGATAACAATATTTCACATCCTTGAGGTATGTTTAAGGTGTGCCTGGTGGTTTCTGAAAATTGGGCATAGGATGCACAACATCTGATATATTCTAAAATAATTTCACAGTTCTAACAAACTCTCAACCAAACATTCATACTATAAACAAGTTCCAAAAGTTTTTTAAAAGATAATATAGGTTCACAATTAATGCATATTTGAAATCTGATGTTGTCAGCAAAGCAAAAAACCACCATGTTTAACTAATTCTTATTATCATTTGGACAATGTTATCCATTCCCATTCACAATGAACTTATTGCTTTTAGTTTAAAAGGGTGAAGTTCCAGAAAGGCAAAATAGAGCTTGTATTACTACCACTCATTCCCGAAATGTCCACAGAACCCAAACTAACTATGCTGCTATGCATTCCAAGTAAGCCCAACCCTTTGTTGCTACGGAAACTAAAGCCAAACCCGAAATAGAAACCCTACAAAAACAACAACAATAATAACAATTCGGCAATATAGAATTGTAGTTCTTAAACTGACCTCAGCCATAGCGCGAATAGGACTTGACTTCGAGAGCCTCGACTGGGTAGGGATGGAGGATGGTGACGCAAGCCGGACTGAACCGGACAGGAAAGTCGACGACTGTGGAAAGGAACAAGAAGAAGAAGTAGCTCGCGCCGGAGAAAGACGGCTCGCCGCCGGAGTTGGTGAGACGGAGAGTGCGCCAACATTTGACTGCAACAAGTTCCACAGAAATTAATAAAGATTGAAACAAAAATTTCACAAAAAAAAATGACATAGTTAATGCTTTTTTTGCCTTACCAGAGTTGCAAAGGAGACGGCCATGGTTCTGAGCTTAGCGGAGTGTTTGGTGAGCTACTGTGTGTGTGTGTGTAATTCAGGAATATCTCTCGCCCCTCCGCCTGTCAAATATCTAATCTATTCTATCTCCCTCCTGTCTACTAAGTGGCGGAAAGGTCGAGCGAGTCTACGTCTGAAATTACCGCAGTGCACTTTGGTTTCTTCGTTATGACGAGACTATCCTACGCTCTTGACCTCATTTTTCCAGTCCAAACCAAAAGGTGCAATTAAAATGACGTAATTACCCATACCAGTGAGGGCAATGCAAAAATAATGGCGTCGCCCGGACTCGAACCGGAGACCTTCAGTGTGTTAGACTGACGTGATAACCAACTACACCACGACACCTTCTTGTTGAGCTGTTTCAACCAATTCTAATTAATCCTCTTAGTCTTGTAGAAGCTTTCCCAACGCAGATAGAACAGTGTTGCTGAATTGATGAAAGCAAGAGAGTTAAAGCGTAAATGGCAGTGAGAGTGAGCTGCCTGAATTCGATGCTATGGCATTCAAGAAATGATTACTGCAGGCAGCCCAGCAAATCTCTGAGACGACATTTCTTATTATCATCCTCATCCTCAATTGCTGCTGCTGCATTTCCAAGTGGCAGGGCAATGGCAACATCTGCTACTCTTGAGTCTGATCAGCCCAAATTTTCATTTCCAATAGTAATCGACTCCCATTTGCACGTCTGGGCCTCGCCCCAGGAGGTAAATCACAAAATTTGAACTTGGTTTCATTAGTCTTATTGGACTTGGTTTCATTAGTCTTAAAGAGGGATTTTTTTTCGTGTGTCAGGCTGAGCAGAAGTATCCTTACTTTCCAGGCCAAGAACCAACTTTACCAGGCGACGTAGACTTCTTGCTCCAGGTAAATACGAATCCCTTTTCTTTATTTACTCCTGTATATATATGCAACTGATTCCAACAGGAGTAGGCCAAGTAGGGTTGCTTGTGTTTCTATAAAATGGTTCCCTTTTTGTATAATTTGCAGTGCATGAACAAAGGGGGAGTGGATGGTGCACTCATAGTGCAGCCTATTAATCATAAGTTCGATCATTCCTATGTCACTAGGTCAGTTAAATTATTCGTGTCCCTATATATGGTTTGGTTGTTGCTTACAAATCATCAATTTTGATACTTTTCGGAAATGGAAATCTGCATTAAAGCGTGCCTTCACTTAGATGATGATATGTAATATTGTGTTTATTCAATGCAGCAACTTTATTGTCACCAAAAAAAAAAAAAAAAAGGAAATCTGCATTAGAAGTACCAAGTTACAAGGAAAGCTTCTTTTGTGAGCCTGCAGACTGGTTGTGTAATTAGCAATTACCACATGTATGTATGGCTTCAAACTGAAACTCAGATTGCCACATTCAAAAGTAGTAGAACGTTATGATATGATTACATAGAATATATGCCTATCATCAGAGAAACAACGGCGACAAACTTTTCAAAGAATCAGTTTAGTTCATTCTTATTTTTTTTTAAAAAAAAAATTGGATAGCCCAGGTGAGAATCGAACCGGGGACCTCTCCGTAACAACCATCCCCCATCCTAATCCCCTAACAACCCCACCCAACCCTCCCACCCATCAGTTTAGTTCATTCTTATTGCTTTAAGCATACTGAACTTAGGAAGTGGTTTTTCAGCCATTGGGTTACATGTTACAGTGATGCTTCTTTGTGCTTTGCATTGTGGAACAAACAGTGTGCTAAAGAAATATCCCTCGAAATTCGTTGGTTGTTGCCTTGCTAATCCAACTGAAGATGAAAAGGGTGTGAAGGACTTTGAAGATCTTATTCTGAAGGTGCTGATGCCCGAGCGAGAAACTACTTTTTTTTCTTGGGAAAGAAAAAAAAAAAAAAAAAGGTCTGTCTGACGAAGAACTTTAACTCATGTAGGATGGCTACCGTGCAGTTCGCTTTAATCCATACTTGTGGCCTTCTGGTCAACAGGTACCATAGATTTCCTATATCCACCTGATTTGTCCTTAGGATTGGCATAAGATGTCATGCATTTTTTTTTTTAAATCTTTTTGTATCCCAACTGTTGTGATTTTACTGTAAATCCTTCCATAGATACAGAGGTGTATTTAGTATTGAAAAATTAAACAAATTTTACCACTTTGCAGATGACAAATAACATAGGAAAGGCTATTTTCTCTAAAGCAGGAGAACTTGGAGTGCCTGTGGGTTTCATGTGCATGAAGGTACTTTGCTTAATGGTTCTGCCTTAAAAATACACTTTGAAATTACATTCTTAGCATGATAAATCAATTGCTTCTCGCCTTCTTTCATTAATTTTAAAATTCAAATGGCAACACGCCACTGCGGTGAGCACCTTTACAGGGCCTTAATCTGCATTTATTAGAAATCGAGGAACTGTGCACTGAATTCCCTAAAACAACTGTTATTCTCGATCATCTGGCTTTCTGTAAGCCTCCAACGTAAGTGTTTATGCCTATTTCAGCACAATGCAAAAGCGCTTTAGCCGTTTGGATGAAAGATGAGATAACTTTTTTCATCTCAAATCACACTTTCCGTCTTTCAGAAATGATGAAGACAGCAAACTCTTTTCGGCACTGCTAAAGTTGTCCAGGTTTCCTCAGGTGAAAATATGCTGCCAATGTGAACTTTCTTTGATATTTGTTGAACACGTCTTATTACCTCACATCTACACAATTACATCCTATTTGCCATGGTTGTTGCATTTGTCCTTTATCTTCCCTTAACCTCTTCAAGGGTTTACCTGACAGGTGTATGTAAAATTTAGTGCCCTTTTTAGAGTGTCAAGAGTTCCGTATCCCTATGATGATTTGTCAAAAGCTCTGGAACTAGTAGTCTCCAGCTTCAGTGCAAACAGAGTCATGTGGGGAAGGTAATACGAAATCTATTTGTCTTTGAAACTTGAATGGTTATCTTTTACTGTGACAGGTAAATTTGAACACAGTTTACATCTACGGAGTAATGAGTTTGCTGATGCAGTGACTTCCCATATGTTGTTCCTGAATGTGGTTACAAAGAAGCAAAAGAAGTTGTGCTTAGGCTCGGCCAGCAGGTTCCATTGTCAGCCTCAGATATGGAGTGGATCATGGGTAAAACAGTGGCTCATGTATTTAATAAGACCGAGTGGCTCGCTTGAAGCACCTCCGAACAGGCTCTAATCCATTGATGGGCTGTAAAGTGTAAACATCAAGTTCCAACTAGAATTTGCTATTTGGTCTTATCAGATGACATCTCTCAATTTACTTATGTATTGGCATCTAAATATTCTATTAAAATAAATATTTTTAATTTCTTTTTCATTTGAAGAGGAGGAAATAAATTGAGATTTTTTGGGTCTGAATAAAGGGTAAAAGAGTACTAACATCCTCCTTTTTTGAATGACATCATAGTGACACGTCATCTTTCTGGCACCTGAGGATGAATTTGATAGTTGACTGGCCAGTCAAACAATGTGTTCGACATTGCTTCAAAACCCAAGGAAGTTTTAGATATTGGATCAAACTTTTAGGGGTGTATTTGATATTAACCACAAAAATTATGAATCAAAACTCAATTTATGATCGAGGAAGTGTGTGACTAGAGAAATCATTTTAAAAATTTTATTTTTTCTACAAAGTTTATTTGAACAATTATTAAAGTCAAAAAAATTTTTCCGAAAAAAAAGGTCTAAAATTATCTACTAATCAAAGCTGAATTATTATTCTCTATCCCTCCTAAAAAATAATTTACATTTTACATAAATTATAAACGTGAGAGAGTATAAAATATTATTCCTTTTGTCCCGAAATTGAAATTTTATTTTTAATATGAATTAAATTAAAAATAAAAATCTAAATTGGATAATAATTTTGAGACAGAGAGAATAGTCATTAGTAATTTAGAGGAAATTGAGAGAAAGTTTGACATATGCTCGCCTCTTCCTACTCGAAATGCATCACATCTTTCTTGGGCAAATCACCTGCTTATAGTCTTCAATATTAATGAGCATCAAGACCCAAATCGTTACTCGATTCTTAGTAGCAGTAGTTAATTAGGTTTTGTAATTGTAATTGATATTGATGAAAAGGCAGGAAAAGGCAATGCAATATGGAAACAGAAAAAGAAAAAACGAAAAAACAAAATGTACGAAAAAGTACAAAAGATCCTAGGCCCAGGTCGCTGGATTCAAAGTCCAAAGAGATCACTGCACCATAGAACCCATTGACTATTGATGATATGTACGGCCAAAAATCCCTTCTAAACAATCATAAACAATTTTTAGTTTAACTTCTGGAGAAAAAGTTTTCTTCTTTTCCCAGGTTACAAGGCCTGACAAAAGATCCAGTGTAGGTATTACATTTGTTTTTCTTTCAACAAAAGTTTAAATTTAATTTGGACATTCATCAATATTTACTCTTTGTAAAATAGCAAAATAAATTAAAAGTGAAAAGGGATTATTTTGTTTTTCTTTTACATATTTTAAGGATTATTTTTATTATTTTTTGAGACTATTGGGGTGTTTTTATTAAATTAGTGGAAATATGCTGAACTTAACGAAAATCAAGTCAATTGGACGAAATTAACAAAAATATCAAACATAAGGGATAAAATTAGCTAACCGAAAATCAATGTGATAAAATTGATGAGGTCAAAACTTTGGGTATATTATTTTTTCCCGACATTAATGTATCACACATAACATCCCAAAGAAAAGAAGAAAGATAAGTTTCCATATCCTGCCTTTATGTGCGTTAATTATTTGGTTACAATAAAATACGGATTATACTAGGTGTTAGACCCGTCCGATGGACGGAGAACACATATACATAGATATTACTATACAAACAAATCAAAAAAATATTAATATTTGTATAGATTTTTGTATTTTTATAAAATATATAATGAATTTATTGAAAAATATAAAACACAAACACCGACAACACTTTACCAAACGAATACACTGGTAATTTATTTAACGCAAGAAATTAAAAAAATAAACTTTGAATTAAATAATTATACATTTTGTAATATTTCTTGGTAGACTACATTGGTAGTCTGGGATGTAAATGTTGGTTAGGGTGGTTAAGAGATTATGATAAGGAATTTTTTATTTTTTTTTTGAAAAGGTTTATGATAAGGAATGGTTACTACAGAAACAACAACCCTAACCTGTTGTAGAGACTATCCAATTTTTTAATAAGAAAAATAAAAAAAAAAGTTTGGATATCATGACCTTTTTCTAAAAATTTGGATTTCAAAACGTTTAAAAAGAAGAATAAAGAATAGCTATAATTGAAGCCTTTCAATATTTTTATTCTTTGCCAGAGTCATTCTTAGTCCCGCTACATCAACCCATCACCATAGTATTTTAACTCAATTTCCTATTTGAAGCTAAATTATAGAAGTTTCAGGTTGGCCTAACTTCTTTAATTAATAAATTATTAATATAAAATTCTTTTTCAGTTGCGTTTTTTTTTAGGAGGAAGAGATCCGTCCATCTGATTTATAGGGATTTGGTCGAATCAATATAGAGTTTGAATTTTTCAGTTGCCTTTTTTTTTTTTTGGTTTTTATTGTTTTATTTTGTTCATTTATATCTAGAAAATTAAGAAAATGCCACATAGGATAAAATCATATGTGGCATGTGCTCCTTGAATTATTTTAATAAATTATTAATATAAAATTCTTTTTCAGTTGCGTTTTTTTTTTAGGAGGAAGAGATCCATCCATCGGATTTGTAGGGATTTGGTTGAATCAATATAGAGTTTGAATTTTTTCAGTTGCGTTTTTTTTTTTTTTGGTTTTTATTGTTTTATTTTGTGCATTTTTATATCTAGAAAATTAAGAAAATGCCACATAAGATAAAATCCTATGTTGCATGTGCTCCTTGACTTTAGATTCCTCTCTTTGGTTTTTCCCTTAGTAAAATATATAGATAGATAGATTTTCATTTTTATTTTTTGAGGATTGCAAGTAATCCTATCTTTATATGTTCATGCACAACTTTATATATTAATCATGTGCAATTCAGTCCAAATCTCGTGCAAATCGCGTGCAAATATAATCTTATAAAGTTGATTAGAAATTAATTGATTGATTATAATTTTATAATCTTATATTCTCCCGGTCCTTAATATAAGACATTTTGATTTTGTCTTAAATTTCACCTAGTATACATTTTTTGTTGAAGAAAAAACCTTTATAATATATTTTCACATTATGTTCTCCTAATTATTAAAAAATATTTTAAAGATTTTTTCTCCAATTAAAATTATATATTAGGTCAAATTTAAGACAAATCAAAATATTCTTATATTAAAGTTTCTGGAAGTATGATGTGAAGAAGGAATTTAAGGAGATTTTTTTTGCAAGCGGTAGACAATTTATTTATCACGAAGAAAGGAGATTATCCTTTCACTGGCCTGAAAACTCGAAACAATTGAACGACGAACTTGTGAAAATGACTGTTGCCTCTACAATGTTTCTTTTCTTTTTCCTAAAAAAGAACCTCTGTTAGGGTTTCGATCTATACAATAGCATTGAAGGGTTGAGCTATCTTACTACTAAAATAGTTTTCTAACCTTTGTAGCTAATCACATCACCTCCCATTGTCGATCTTGCAGTTTTGGCGCAAAAGGTGATAGAAAAACTAATACTGCAAAAAGCTTTACACGGGGAAAAACATGAGACCTGTACAGTGTACTCCTAGAAATGATTGATACAGAGTAAATGCTATTCGTAACCAACTATTTTCAATCTTCTATACGCTGAATTTCTCCCATCATTATACGGTTGCTTGTAACCTTGAACCCAAGTAATGCAGGGTCAATTTGTCTACCTTTCTTTCCCTTCTTTTTGTTGCTCCGAACACCCTGTCCTTCAGCTGAATCTGGAGCACCAAATCCTTGAGTACTACTCTCTTGAGGGGCTGGCTTCTTGGTACTGCTCTTGAGCATGTCGCTAAATGAGGTCTCTGAAACATCAGCATCACTTAAAGACGCAGTGCGCCTGTATCGTGCATCTTTCTTCCCAGATGTGTGAATATCCACAGCTTGGTTTCCCTGATTGGCAGTTCCTTCAAGCCTACCTCCTACAGAAATTTCAGGGAAAGATTATTATCACATTACAAAAAAGCAGACAACAGAGAATTTCCAATTCTTAGTATTACAAAAAAGCTTCACATTATGGTTTTCCAGAAGTTGAATAAACACCATCTACGGGATTTTCATTGCAATGATATTCGTTGTAGATACAAGGCAAGATATTAGATATGCAGAAAAAGGAGATTAGATAATCAGTACCTTCAGCTGGTGGTACAACATTTGGAGGCATTTTCCCCCTGATTCCTGAATCAGAATTAAGCTCTGCCAAACCTTCCTGGGACGATGTTGTCCGCGAGACGGGGGGGCGTTTCAGCAAGATATTTTCAGGCCGTCTTGATGCAGACAATTGGCCCCTACCAAAAGCAAAATAATGAGAACATCAACCATATCACCCAAAACCAAAAAAAAAAGAAAAAGAAAAAAAGTTACTTTGACAAAGGACAACTATGAGACAAGAACAAATTGTTGCATCAACTTCATCCTGTTTATTCAGGATTTTTGTTATGGGCTGGAATACACTACGCCTTTTATACTGTTCTATAATCCTACAAATCAATAGCTTAAGTAAAATACAACAGTAGAACATGTGTTTAAAACAGACCCATTCTCTGAGGAAGAAGAATATTAGCAAAAGAGAAAACAATCAATCTAAACTATGTGCAATAAACATTATGCCACTTACGGAGGTAAAACATGGTTTCATGGCACCTTGAAAGTATCAGATGAAGGAAAATATAACTCATGATTCACTAGACATTTCCTATCAAAAAAAGAAGGGTTCCCCACTATTCCCTGCTTAAGGTTACAAAAATCAATTGCCTTACCGGTCCTTGGCAAGATCATCTGAAAAGGGATCGAATGCTCCAATCTTTTCACCGTAGAATCCCGAATTACCACCTGAAGCCACTAAAGCGTTACCACATGTCCACATCAGTCAGAAATTACCAGGAACAGAAAGAGGAGCCAAGGCTACCTGCACTACTAAAAGAGGAGTGTCTGCTAAGAATATTAACAGGCATTTCTGCTCTATCCAGCGAAGCCATAGATACTGGCTCACACATATCATCTCGAACCTCTGAAGCTGAACCCTGGACAAGGTCACCATTCTACATAAGCACCAATCACCCAACAATTTGCCAAGTATGCAGAAGTTCACAAAAATTACCTGTGAAAGACTGTTGACACCAGAGGAGACAGCATCTCCATCAATCAGTGCAGCAGAATTGGATCTAAAAGGCAATCTTTCAACACCCTCCACAGAACCAGCCACTTCAGCTCCACGAGCCTGTGGGAGCCCACCTGGATTCAAACCATAAGACCCGAGAGCAAATGATTGATTCAAAGCTGCTTCTTGCTCTGAAAGATGACTAAGCGAATGGTTTGAAGAGCTAGTAGCAGAATAAGGACCAGGAGGAGGTCTTCTATCAGAAGGCATTCCACTTATCAAATCTACTGGCTCAGTTGACTGATGTCCTGATTTCTGATGAAGCAGTTCCATGAGTAACCGTTTTGAACTGTCCTCATTTGTGCCAGCCGACATCCATAAACTTGAATCTTCTGGGGCCCTTCTGACCTCTATATCCCTTTTCTGTCTCTCACTATTGATTAGCATCTGCTGCATTCTAGATTCCATCCACTCACTTGGCATCTGTCCGTTGCTCTCAGGCCAGTGGCCCTCCAAGACATCAGAATTTGAAGCACGAAACTGACTGGGAAGATGCTGAGAGTGATGAGAATAAACACCTGATGAGAACCCCCCAACTTGACCACTAGGGTGCAGTCGGGCACCCAATTCCTCTAAGCCTTGAGCACGACCAAGCGAATTAATAACATCCAAATTCGCTCCAGCAGGACCACCAGGTAGCGACATTGATCGTTCAAATGGTAGAAGGCCAGGGTCATAAAGCCCGGAATGGAGTCTGTCTCGTAAGGAGAGATTTCTTTCCAGATGACTGAGATGCTCATCAGGAGATGGGATCTGTTGTTGCTGGAAAAATTCCAATTGTCCATATCCGGCAGGGTTAGGACGATGAGAACCAGCAGGATTCCGGAGAAATTGACTGTTTTCTTCAATAGGCCATGCACCACCAGCTTGTCTATCATCTTCCATTTCCATTCGATGTCGCAATCCCATAGCCAACTGCCTCCCATGAAGCTGCTCTTGCTGAAGGATCTGTTGCTCTAGTGGGTGCAATTGTCCATGTTTTGCACGTGATAAGAGCTCCAATAGTTCATTTGAATGCACTTGGGGAGCTTGACCAAACTTAGCCTGAATGAGATGCTCAAGGGATGCTTCTGGGTGTCTAGGAGGAAGATGGGAACGCTGCTGAAGTTCATTCAAAATTTGCTGCTTCAAGAAGACCTGTTCGAGAGAATTCGCTCTAATAGCATCATTGCGTGATTGAGCACGAATAGATTCACGCATTTGGCTCTGCATCATTTGTTCAGCAAGCAGCTGTCGAGCGTGAGCCTCCTGCTGCTCTTTTAGAAGCATTTGATGATGAAACTGCTGTTGCTGCTGCAACTGCTGCTGCTGCTGTAGTTGCTGCTGGTGTTGAAGCTGCTGAAGCCTTTGCTGTTGTTGCTGGATCGCGAAAATCTGTTCAAGCTCAGCCTGAGCTGACAAAGGTTGATGCACCGGATTGTGATTTGATACCCTTTCAAGCATAGCTTCTTCCAGGTGTGTATTCTGAGATGGTAAGTTATGCTGCTGCGAAAACTGTGAATATTGTTGAGAAAGCAGCTTATCTGGTGCGTCAAAGCGGTTAGACTCAAGATTCATACGAGATATTTGTTGCTGAACATCTAATGTTTCTTGATAACTGTTGGTTTCAGATAGAGAAGCTCTGCGACGAAAATCCGGCCATGAATCAATAGCTCGAGTTGATTCAGCCATTCCACCAAAAGGAGCAGTCCTCCCAGAAAGAGAATTAATAGCTTGCTCCTGAAAACCTCCATTGAAAGAAATATTTGATGTCTGATCATTCCTTGTATGGCCACCTTCTAGCTCAGACCACAACAACCCAAGAGGATGTAGCTTATTATTTTGCTTCGAAATACCAGGCTCTGTCAATTCAGCTGGAAAAGACGGGTTGGTATTAATTGAAGATTCGGCCATGTTTGAAGCCTTCCCTATAGGATTACCACCACTATCAGGTCTTCCTGGAAACAAAATCTCTGCAAAATGTGTGAGAGGCAGTTAGATCCAATCACGACAACAAGCATATTAACTAGTTTGAAAGGGGAAAAGGAAAAGAAAGAAAATAAAATGAAGATGTCAACCTTCATCCTGGGACACAAAATTTTGGAACTTCTGACCCTCTGAAAATGGAAGGTGTGATTGACTTTGGAGCTCAATATTTTTTAGACGAACATCCTCTGGAATACCATCAAAATGAGAAAATTGCCAGCTTGAACCATCCAAAGCACCAGAAGAAATACTGTCAGGATGAGGACCAGAAGTACGCATGCCAGCCTCGGATTTCAACTCCAATGCCGAAGACTGTTCTGCAACAGAGTTCAAATTACTGGTACCAGCTAAATCAAGGCCAGATCTAAGATGCGGCATCACATCACCTAATTCATAAAAAGGTGAATCTTCAGGAGCATCTGCCAAGCGCACAGGCAAGTCAGCTCCAAAAAACCCTTCCTCAAACCATGTGATAATATCAACTCCAAGAAATGGGCCTTGAATTTCTCCTTGGGGATCACGATAGAACAAAGTTAATTCCTCAGGTGGGATACTCTTGTCTAAATGATTATCAAAAGTTCCACCACCCAAACTATGTATATTTCCATCCCAATAACGATCTGAAGATGGTCCAGCAAACAGAGAGTTAGGGTCATTTGAAAGCCTATCATCATCATCAAAAGATCCACCAGGTCTAGCAACATCCAAACCAGGATGATGTCCAAGGTTGACGTTGCCGCCACTGTCGAGTTTAGCTACATTCAATATCGCTTGCTCAGAGACAGTCCTGAGACCCTCTGACACATTTCCTTTTTCCCGGTGGATGGCATCCCTCTCTGGAGCAAATGTGCAGGGTTAATTATTAGAGATTACAGCAATCAGATTTGACATAAAATTCTTTCTTTTTTCCGGAATTTTCAATTGTAATAATAAATAACCCGCCCCACCCCAGATAGGATGCAAAAAAAACCTTAAGTGATCCCTTACCATCTACCAAGTTAGCAGAACCACTGATGTGTAATTTGCTCTGAATACTGGGTCCCTGAATATTCTCATTTGGCAATCTGATGAATGTATCTAAATTTTCTTCGGCAATATCTGCAGGGAAGACCACCTGCTTCTCATTGCTGGCTTCTAGATCTACCACTTCTGGACAACCCAAAAAGAAGAACACTTTTAAGAAAGAATCACAGCAACACAAACTAAAATTAGATAGAGCAACAAACTCGTCTTTAACCCAAAATAAATAAATAATAAAATCACCTGCAACATCATCAGTTGATCTGCCCTTTCTAAACGAACTGTATGACACTCCGCTACTGGTAATTTTACCCTTTGACACATCATTTAGGATAGACTGCAAAGTAGGAAACCAATGTAAATAGGTATTCAAGTTTTGATTTCTATCTAGAACCCAAATTCATAACAGTCTAGCAAAGCACTGTAATAAAAAACCAAAGCCATAGAAATCAATATTCTTGCATGACTCACCTCCTCTTCCACACTAGGAACAACAAATGCTATTGGCTCAACGTGATTTACTTCCGTAATTGAGGGTACATCATCCATATGATCAGGTTTATTAAAGAAGGATGAATTCAGCTTTTGCCTGCGGTAAATATCAAGGAGTTTGCCCCTTGGATAAAAAAATGAACCAGCTGATAACTTCGGCTTCCCTGGAACACTTTCACTGGCTGTTAAACTTGAAACAGGTACACTACCCCGTCCACGCCCTAAAGTGAAACCCACATTTGAACCCTCCACTCGCCCCCTCTCAGGTCCAAATCCAGGTGCAGCACGGTATGAGCCTGAAGCACCAACATTTCCATCCATTCTATGCCGAGGTCTCCACTTATCACGAGAATCAGGTTCGCGTTCTGTAACGGAGCGACCAGTAACCCCAAAGGACTGATTCTCATTGGTAGCATCTTCCTTCTCCACATCAACCTTCTTTTCAGGTCGAGATTCTTTCTCTTTTTCATCAGGACCCCACCTGTTTGACCATTTATTATCACGCCTGGCCTCAAGCCCAGAATTGCGGTTACTACCATCATGCCATCTCTCAGCAGCCGGTAACACTCTATTTTCAGATGTCTCTCTCCCTGAAGCAGCATCAACTCTACGCTCTGGCTTCCTACGGTCCCTTCGACCAAGCAAACCAGTTTCCCTTTCTTCTTCGCGCCAACGCCTACCGCTATCAGCCTCAGTCGTACTTCTTCTCCAATCCTTTTTTTCTTCCGTTGCATCTCCGCGCCAACCATCCTTTTGATTTGAATCAGCAGAGCTTCCAAGAGACAGAGAACTAGGTCCACGGGCTTCCTGTTATACAAATGAGAATATGCATAAGAACGGCAATAATGCAGGGGGGACAGGGAAAGCAGCTTAAATACTGGGGGGAAAAATCATATAAAAGGTGAAATAAGCATTCAATGGTGGAAATCTACACAGAAATATTCATTCAAAAAAAATCAAAGCTAGAAATAGGCAAAGCTAGAAATAGGATCTAACGTAAAGAGAACTCCATGATCTCTGTTCTTAAGTATCTAGGAATAAGCCAATAAGCTATCAAACATAAAACGAATGCCAAACATCCGAGAGAACACAGCCATGAGAGACAGGATAAACACATTCAAGTCATCAACTAAACAAAACCTTCAATTTCTTGACAAAAAATAATAAAAGACTCCAAGAAGACTTCGAAGTTTCCTAGGTGTGGCAGCATACAACTATGGAACTGAAGCTAGGATTCCTTTCAAAATATGTGCCACAGAGCATAAACTACAGCCCCTGACAAGGAAAAAATGGGATGAAGTTCCCCATGCTTGTGCCAAGACGCAAAATGACACAACCAAAAAAAGCGAATCACGGCTTTGTTTGGAACGTTTCTTCAATGTCTGTTTTTTCTTTGTAGGGAACGTAAAAAGGCCCACAGGCAAACAAAGTACAGTAAGAACATACACACAGATATATATATATATATATATATACATATATATAATATATATATATAAAGAAAATTCCAAAAACAAACAAAGCTCAAACACTGACCCCTATAAGATGCCATGAAGAGTAAACTACGTTTAGAAGAATAATGAGGAAAAAAAACCCTTAACGCATTTGTTTAGTATCCAACAGGATCTTGATAAGCACAAAAGTATCAGAGACGAACCAAATTCATGACAACAAAACTTCTTTTTGAAAAAACCTGAGGGCACTCATTATTATATATTCCAAAAGTTATTACAGGTCTATAAGTACATTCCAAGGATAAACAAGCAGAAAATTCTTACCATTTTGGAGTCACTCGGTTTAGCATAAAGCCATTGTGGAGACAAAGGAATGCTATCCGAAGTTTGATCTGTCAAAAAGTGGATCAGAAATTAAATTATCAATCGAAGATTGAAGTTGGAAACGTTCAAATATTAGATAATTTGCCAGAATATCAAAATAAGCAACAGCGCATTACCCTTGGGATCGTCAACTAACCCTAACATGGTTTTTTCCTCATCATTACCTGCATAAATTCAAATGAAAGGAAAACAAATAAGTAACAGTAGTTCCAGAAATTCAAATAGTGAATTCAAACACTCGATGAAGCTAGTCATGAACCCAATCCAGGAGACCAGAAGTAAAATAATCTACGAACCAGAACCAACGGATAAGGAAACAAATAAACTCAGCCTTAAACAGATATTTTTAGAAAAAGAAACCAACTCCTGCACTAGACCAAAAAAAAAGAATTTGAAAGTGTCCATTACAACAAATGCTAACGAAGGAAATACTAGTTCAAGAACTGAATTGAGGAGTTAAAAGCATCTAACGAAGATCTCCAAGTCTCCCAATCTTTAGTTAAAGCAAATCAATGAAAACAAACAATTGCATGAGATAGCAAGGTCACTCGAAAATAACTTGATCTGAAACCCTAGAATTCCAAATAAAATACAAACACAAAAAACAACTGAACAGATAGCCCACTCAGATCAATAAGCCCTGACTTCACATTGAGTCAAATCCAAAGGAACCGAAAACAACAATAAAAATCACAAGCTAAACCCGAAACAAATTAATTAACTAAAATTCGAATTCAAACGCTAGAATTTTACCACCTTTGGGAGTCGAGGACTGATCGGAGGACTGCTTAGACGGGATGATGAGATCGTCGGGGAGATCAAGCTTCTTATCCGCCATCGAAGGACCAATGAGATCGAAAATTAAATCAATTGGGGGGAGGAATCCAAACCGCAGCACCAACGAAGAACAAGAACAAAGCAATAGGAGATTGATTTGAAAGTAACGACGTTGGAAATAACAACGAAGAAGACAGCGGGAAAGAAGTGAATCGCACGCGAGGGAGAAAGAGTGAGAGAGAGAAGCGAAGCGAAGCGAGAGAGAGCGGGGAGAGATGGAAGAGCTTTTTGCAGATGGAAGAGAGAGAATTTAGTTCAGGGGATACGTCGTCGTCTGAAATAGAGAGAGTGGTGAAGGAAGGACGTGGGAAGAAATTGAAGAATAGGGTAAGCCTGATGAGGAGAGGAGGGTTTGTTTGGGTGGTCAGAACTCCCAATTCGGTTAATCCAGTTTTGCAATTGTAAGTCTTTTCTTTATTGGTTTTTATACCTTTTTTATTATTATTTTCCCAAATTTTTGTTAGGATCCATCCACCTGAAGAATATTCACTTATTTGAAATTATATTAGGTTTTTCCAACAAAAAGAATAACTAAAAAAATTTCTACATTTCTACTATTTTCATATTATGGAATCATCAAGGTGATGAGACCAGTCCCGACCATTTGTGGACCGAGTATAATTATAATATTTTTCTCATGTAAAAATTTTAAGGTATGATTTGTCAATCACCGACTCTGATTAATCTAGTCTCTTAATAATCATTAAGAGACAATCATTTGAGATATATTTTTAAAGAAATTACCTTAGTAACATGCTGATTGTGGGAGATTAAACTGGACTCCCCTCAGACTTTTGATCCATTTGGTTATACCAATGATCAGAACCTGTTAAACCATTTTTTTTTTTTTAAAAAAAGAAACAATCCGGCAATAACCAAACCTTTCTTTAAATCCTTTTTTCCAATGCTATTGCATAATTTTTCTTAATCTGTCAAGAAGGACCGAATAAAATATTTATTAGTAATTAGGTTCAAATGTTGAACCTCTTGTATTTATATGTTTTATATATATATATATATATATATATATATATATATATTTTCATATTACTGAAAATTCTATCATATCAATGGGTAAGTCCTGCATGAATATTAATACTAATCTCAACTGTCATTTTAAATTAATTTCTAATTAATATTATAATGATTCTAAATGGTCCATTACATTTAGACGACAAGTAATTTGGATCTTTAACAAAGGAAAGAAAAAAAAAATCTTTTGCATTACCAGTTTTAGTTTTTTGGATCAAAATTGGGAATTTGTTAACCAGCATGGTACTCTTATCAGAAAATATTATGTATCAAACTAAAAACACATTTTTGCGGATGACCAAAACTATCCTTTTTCTAATAATGATGAAGGAGGCCAAAAGATTAAAATATTCAATTAAAATTCTATGTGAGTGGAAACTCCCAAAATTATATTTGGGAGTACCAAAAATTACTTCATTTCTTTTAATAACTACCAAAATTACTTTATGATCACATGTAGAGAGTAAGAGACTAATAGAACTTTATATAGGCTCTCTTCTTTTAAAAAAATGGTAGTCTTCTTGGATTTGCCATTCAGAAGAACTTCACTCCATAGTCGAACCATGTTACTTTCTGAATGCATGCTAATAATACCATGAAGCAATTTCTTTTATATTGCCCTGTCCCAAAATTATTGTCTAGTTTGAAATCTCACTTTTAATACAATTTGAACTAAAAATGAAAACTCAAACATGAGAACAATTATGAAATTGGGGAAGTATAAGATAAGGTGAATAACATTTGTAAAGTATTTTACTTTCTTTTCCTTTTTTCTTTTTTTCTTTTTGGAAATCATTGTAAAGTCTAATTGTGACTATGTTAAGCGTACTTTTAGAGTTCAATTAATTGTTCGTCTCATTTGCACATAAGTGTTACTAGTCGAAGGCTATCTAGGAGTATTCATGGGGCAAGGCCACACTAATTAGCCTACAAAAAGTGAATACAGACCGTGGTCTTCAACAATCCAAGCCTTAAAAGTAACTTGTACTTCCTCTGTCCTCAAAAAATAATTCATATTGAGTTTTGAGTTTTATACCGTTTTTAGTACAAATTTGAAAACTCAACGTAGACTATTTTTTGTGAGATGGAGCTGGTATTAGTTATGATATGATATGATCATCGTTTGAATTTTGATCGGGGCACACAGTAGTTGTTAAAATAATTATAGGGGGATTTAAATAAGTTAATCACTATAAATAAAAATACAAGAACAAAAGCCTTTTAAAAAGATACTAATAGAGTAACCACTGAAAGATTTGGGCCAGATCGGATAAGAGGAAGGTGATGATGTAAAAAGATACCAGCAGCAGCAGTAGAGGTCATATGGAAATGGGCTACCAATTAAATATATTTTCGAGTTCATTTTATTCGCTGCTGGGGTAGTTGTGTTGCTAATCATTTACATGGGCAAAATTGCCCAAAGGGTCCTACTAACCTGGATTTCATTTCAGAATTAATTGCAAAAAGACCCCCTTCAAAGTTTAATAGCAAAAACATCTCATAAAGCATTCAAGAAATGATCTACAAATTCTGATTCAATCAGCAGATATATAAGCTTCTATCTATAGTGTGATTAAGAAATACAAGCCCTATACTCCTCTTCACGCATAAACACAGGTTTAGGATTTATCCCCAGGCACACTAGGATTATCAAAGTAAAATAGGAGAAAGCAAACAGGATTGAAAAGATGAAACTATGGGAAACATTGTAGGAAGGTCTGGTCCTTGATTTGCTGAATAAAATCTCTCACAGAATAAAATGTATAACCAAAACTAACAAGATCAACCATTACCAATAAACAATTTGCTCTAAACATAATCATTCAGTCAGAAATCCGCTCATCACTTAGGAATTAACAGTCAAAACCTTTACAATCTAATGATCTTAAGCAAATTCTCAAGTCTATAACCTCTAATAACCACTATAGATTTTTTCATAAAAGGCAAAATGTCTCTGAAGACTCAAATCATCGAAGGCTAATAAAAGTAAAACCTTAGCAGAATTGGATACTTCAACTACATTGCCTCTTCTTCTTCCTCCTGATTTTATCACACAGGAAGGCCTTCTCCAGCTGCTCCAACCTCAGGGTCAACGTGTTCAACATCTTAGCTTGAGCTTCAGTCCGCTCAAACAGACCACTCATCATCTGCATCATCTTCCCATTGTCCTCCACTATTTTTTCCATCAATTGGTTAATTTCATTTTTCTTATCATCACCGCCAACATGTCCTCCAGTCTTCTCCTTATCATTTCCATCTACACCCTTCTCTGCAACAGCAGCATCAATCCCTTCTTCAATCCCAGCCCCATTGTCCGCTTCATCATCCTGCTCCATTTTCTCCTCAGTATATTCAGCCTGGGCGCATTTTCCTTCCTCATTAACCTCAATTTTCTCGTTCTTACCACCATCCTTAGTTTCATTTGTCTCCTGCTCTGGCATGTCCACTACAACAAATTCATTTACAGCTGGATCCTCATCAGCCTCCACTTCCTCCATTAAACAGTCAACAGAGCAGCTCTGTTCATCCCTTCCCAGCTCCGAATCTCGTTTACCATTTTTCTCATCCACATTTTGCTCAGGAGATTCAAATTCCTCGTCTGAAGAACATTCCCCACTATCGTCTTCCATCTTATCACAAACGATCGAAATTGATTGTGGCTCCTCACTGTTTAATGCCTTCTCTTCGGGCTCATTGATCGTCTCATGTTTCTGATCATGGCCGTTATCATTAACAGCGACGGCATCGGACTTTTCAGCAGTCTCTGGATTTAGATCGGTGCAAAGTGAATCGACCTTTTCCTGCAACGCGATTGCCTTCTTAATTACGGCCTTCCTGCAAACCCTAACCCCTGAATCCACGGCGCCGCCGCCCACGGCGTCTAATTTCAGAAGCAAAGACATCAAGCTCTCGTTCACCTTCAGCCGCTCCTTCTCGTTCTTTTTTATCAGATCCGCCACCTCCCTCCGCGAAACCCTAGCTTCGATGGCGTCCACTTCCCGCTTAATTGCTGCAATTTTCCTCACGCTCCTCCTCACCAGATATCCCCTGAAAACCTTCTGAATTTTCAAGGCGGATGCAGAGCGGGACAATTCTGACCGGACGAAGTGTACCGGGATCTGGACCACCCTCGGAGACCTCCTCTCCGGCGTTTTGAACTGGAAATCCGGACGAACAGACCTCGCGGGGGCCCACTGATTTCTGAAGAAATCCATGAAATCAAAATATAATTGGAGATGTGCGTAATTGGAGTTTTGCGATGAATCAAATATCTGAAGATATTCTTTTTCCCGTATTTGAGATTTGGATTTTAGGGTTGTCGAAGATGATAATTTATAGTGATATGCGGCGGAATGGAGGGAAAGACTAAAAAGAAAGAGGAATTTGAAAATTCCAGAATATTCACGAGACGAGAGATATTTTATTACGCCCTTCTGATAATTCTAGATCTTTGTGGACTGTTCTGGTAAATTTTTTGTGTCGACTGCCGTTGCGTCACATGGATTTTCAGGTTATGCCCTCAAAGTTTTAGTAGACGTTCTCTTTACTCCCTATATATTATCGAGTATTCCCACGTGATCCTTCTCTTCTACTAATACATATTTGACCATATTCTGATGTTTCAATCAATCATATAAAACGCCATTAGACTTCGAAATTCCAATGGAACTCAACCTTTCCCCTTATTCATCCATATTCTAACCTCTAACTCTTACATTCCCTTCAAAAATTGTTGTTTCTCGTACCCGATAAGCATACATATTTTGTTCAGTCCTCTAATGAGATTGTTGTGACTCTGATAAATTGTCAGCCTTAACCTTAAAGGGAACAAGTGATATGTGTAATTAAACTCTTACTGAATACATAAAAAAGAAACTAGCAATGATTTGATTACTAACGTTTGGACTTTTAAGTTACAAATCGCAAACACATTACTCGGCAAAGGTTTGCAAGATCATTCTTCGTTTCTCTTTTAGAGTTCTACACTTCTACTACAACATTTGAAAAACAAACAAGTCACCCCACCAGAAATGTAGGCAAAAGCCTACTCAAACTCCAGTTGGAGAAAAGCAATCACATTTTACAGGATATTCATTCTACTTGGCATCTGGATACCAGCCCTCTTGATCAGTTCTGCAGAAGCCTGCTTAGCCATTGAAATCACCTCCTTCTGTAATAAAAACGGATCAAACCAGTATTTTACCAGTAAGCATTTTTCTGCACTTTGCCCTTTTACAGAAGAAAGTTTGGGAAGGGAATGAACGGATTGGTCTTCTAACGTACCTCATCCACTGTGAGAATCTTATTGTCCTTCATAATCCATCGACCATCACACATAACCGAAACAATATTTTCGGATCGCATGCAATACACAAGGCTGGAAATGCTGCATATGATCAGTTGAAAGGGTCACTTCATATCAGCACATGTAAAGATATAGGGCCAAATCGAGGCAACATAGAGCTAACTCTTTTTAAGGTGAGCCATTTCTGCAGCCCATGATGAATTTGAAATGCCACAAACAGATGAAGACATTAGGTTCAAAATGATCTCCGCACATCTAGAGATATTATTAACTCATTGAAAGTGCTGGCTAGGAAGAATGGCTGATATCCATTATTGGGTCAAGGAGTAGATTAGTTCTACATACCAGTCGTGAAGAGGGACCATAGACCACAACGATGGATTCACAACAATCATGTCAGCCTGTAAATTATGCAATACTTGGTAAGAATCAACTTATGATGGAAGAATAAGACATGAGGAAGCTCTAAAGCTCCGCATAAAAGTGCATAAAAGAGCACTGACAAACAAACGGCTTCAACACCAGATCATAAGTATTGAAATTTGTGAAGTCACAGCTTAAAATTACAGAAATTAATGCATTGTAAAGAAGAAGTATGATACTAAAGCATCGGCCCACCAGCTACCAAAAACAAACCTTTTTTCCGATCTCTAGAGACCCAATTTCATTGTCCCAGAGAACTGATTTTGCACCATTAATTGTCGCCATTTTAAGAATTGTTTCAGCAGGAAGAGCAGTAGGATCACAAGCTCCTTTAGAGAAGGCATCCCGTCCTTTGTTGATCAGAGATGCTAAGTACATCTCATCAACTGCAGGGAAAATGATCAAATCAAGAAGGAGTTTTGCCAATAGAGAATACCCCGAGAGAACAAAAACACTACATATAAGGTTTCTTACGAGCAATTACCTATGCTCATCCTGTTATTTGACGGTGCACCATCCGTCCCCAAGGACACGCATACTCCAGCATCAAGCATTTCTCGAACAGGTGCAAATCCAAGCATATGCATTGCAGCAGCTGGACAATGTGACACTTTAACCCCTGCCTTTGCTAGAGAATGAACCTGAAAATAAATACTTAATTCAATGGGTACTTGATTGTTCATACATCCAAATCATCCTGCAAAGCTGATGTGCATTGCATTTGATAATATAGAAGACTCTAAATACTGTTTTGAATGAGGAAATATGGAAGTTGAACTGACCACAGTCAAAATATAGATGAATGACCAAGACAAGGACAATCACAAAATTACAAAGCAAATCAAATTGTACAATTAACTATCCAAAATTGTTACCTCACCCTCATTCACCCAAACAGAATGAGCTGCCAACAAGTTATCTTCTAGGAACTTTATCTTTTCAAGATATGCAACAGTTCCATGATCAACTGCTCGGGTGCTTGCAACGTGTTGATTCTCAGAGGCAATCTCTGCAACATGCTAATGCCGATTCGCAAAATGAGTCCAAGTGTTTCATGTGTCTCCATGTCAGAAAGCAAGAAGGTCGTACCAAAAAGAAAAGAAGGGTATACCATTTGGATTCCAGTTTTAAGTTCTTTAGCTGCATCTCGTGTTTCTTTGAGTAAAAGATCAGTTGAATTCATGATCTGCCTGATTCCGAACCATATCCTGATTCGCCCTTCTGCACTATTATTGTGCTTCTTATATAATTCCTTCTGAGACTGAGCCCTTGAATAAAATAGACAACTTAAGTCAATCTACACAACCGTAAACACATGATTAAGATGCCCAAACATCCCAAAAAACTCTATGGATCACTCATAGAGTTACTTAGACATCAAACATGTTGGATTCCCCTATAACCAAAACAATAATCCGCATCAAGAACTACAAACTGCTATAACAGGTCACCAAACCAACAACGTCAAAGCATATGGGCAATGCATATACCACTGACATTGCAAATGAAACTGTGCGACGATAATGTGTGATTGTGAATACTTTTAGTGATCCTCATAGTCAATGACGAGACGCTCATATAGCAGAACTTGCTAAACTACCGTGAAGTGTGACTTTGATGGAAAATTTATATTGAGAGTATCATTTGCTCAATACGGAAAACGCATTCAACCTGAATACACTGTTGTGCGGTCCTATTGGCCCAAGCCACAGGCAATCCTTCCCCAGAGTCCATAATTGACTCGGCCAAGCAAGCTCGCAATCCCAGTTCTTCTACTGCCCTTGCCATCCCGGACACATGCTGCCCGCCGGCCTCCGCAAAGCATGTCACCTTGGTTTTTATTTCCGAAAAGGGAACAGAAGTTAGAGTACTATATCTTTGTACCATAGTCTCGTAATGGAAGATTCATTAGCAACAATTATTTCATAATCACTCAAATTAAACTCTAATTGAACCTATTACGAAGTTTGTAAATCATTTTGTGCCTCCTAAATAGGATAGGAACAAGTAGATACAGAATTCGTGATATTGATTACAGAGAAAGGAGAAGAATAAACATACACCGGAGTGGATAAGTTCGATTCCGCAAAGCAAGGTGGAAATGTAAGAGTCATGGGGGGTCATATTGGACTCGTAGGGCCAAATGCGGCGGTGCAGCCACGTCAGCAAGTCGACGTCGTCGGCGATACCTCTGCCCAGCTGCTGAGAAGTGTGGACGTGGGTGTTCACGAAACCGGGGAGAAGGAACTGCGATTGGAGATCCACTAGCTGTGCTGAGGAGAATTTGTCGAGTACCTCATCGGACGGGCCGACGGCGACGATGGTGTCGCCTTCGACGGCAATTGCGCCGCGACGGAACACGCGGCTTTCGGGATCCATCGTGACGATGAAGGCGTTGTGGAGGACGAGCAAACGGCGGTAGGTAGTTGTGGACGCCATCACAGACTAGGGGGTCACGCGACGGGGAATTCACAATTAGGAGGAAATTACAGGAAATTTTGAAGTTGATAATTAACTGTGGAAAAATCTCGAGAAGACGACCACCGTAACAATATTTCTTTGCCCCCCTTAAAAAAAATGTACAGTATTTTGGAATTTGGACTTTTGGTTTACATTCATTTATATTTAATAATTTCCTTTTCAAAAAAAAATATATATATACATAGTATCCCGAAATAATTCAGTAGACTTTATTTCTTTTTTATTAATCACAATCAAAACTAAATAATTTATCAGGATAAATTTATAGATTTCTCATTCTTTTTTATAAGACATTTTGATTTACTTTCACTTAAAGGTTGTTGTGCGCACTAATGCCGACTTGAAACATATTGATATCGAAAAGTTGGTTACTATCCTCTTTTAACCAAGGTCTTTCCCCTCCCCCGTCCCCTCCATCCCCTATATCTCAATTTGTTCTTTTGTTTATATTCATTTCTCTGCTGGATTACTCCTTAAAATGTGCTAATAGTTATTCTTGGGTTTTTTTTCACTAATCATTACAATTGGGGAGGCAGCATGCTGTTAGTGACTTCCTGAAGCTCATTGAAGAACTAATGGCTATTCCATCCATTTCAATTTGTAGGTCGTTTTAGGTTTGGGAGAATTTTTCATAATGTAAGTCGTTTTAGAGAATCTAGGCAAATTAATTATTTTTCTTCCAAATTTACCCCTAGTAATGATGACAGATAACCATTAGTTATATAACTTTTGACATTAGGAAGGAGTAAAACTCTTCAAACCCTCCTCAGTTCCAATGCTAAGCAAACGAAACTACGACAATTGAACGATGCCAATTTGGAAGACGCATCATCATTCTTTTAGTTTATCAAAACATATTCAGAGTATGTTCTCTTCTAATATATTTAACTAAATTTCTCATTCTTCTTGTGTGCATAAACTTGAATTTATGTGTAAAATGAAACGGGATTGTGAAGATGGGTTAAAAGAAATTGTTGATGCTGCTTTTGAAGATGACAACGTGAAAAAATCTTCACAGAAGATCATTTGATTGCTGATTCATTTGAAGATGAAGTTGTTGAAGACTCATTCAACTATGAAGTTGTTGAGGATTCATTTGATAATGAAGTTGTTGAAGATTCGCTTGAAGGTGAAGTTGATGGACATCCTTATGAAGAAGCAAGAGAAAGAAATAATGATAAAGATGAAGTAAAAGGTACCAAAATAACATTACCGTTTGATTTGAATGAATCGGGGACTCTTGATTTCGACTTGAACGAAAGACCTGATGAATTAGGAGAAGACTTCGAACCAAAAGGATGTGAAGATCCAGTCAGAGAAATGTTAAGGATTAATCTTCCCAAATTTTTCTAGATTTTGAACCAAAAGGATATGAGCGAATGTCCAAATTTGATGAATTATGTACTCTTTTTTTTCTTATCTTATTAGAAATTGGTATCAACTGAAGAAGGTGATTCATGTATTTGGTTGATTTTGTCACTGGTTTTTTATGGTTGCAAGTTTTTTTTTTTTTTTTTCAATGAACGAGAGATCATTAATTTTTATTTAGCTTCTCTGCAGCTGTAATGGTATTCATTATTGTATCAAGAGAATGGTGCTTGTCTCTCTGTAGCTAACTGCTATCCTTAACGGTTCATTTTTCTCTTTGTGTAAATATGAGTGACTACCTTTTTGGTGCAGGGATAGTGTTATGATCGGGATTTTTGTGTAAGTAGTATCCTTGGTGGTTCAAGATAGATCTTTGTTGTTTCTTCTACCACTAGTGGTGTGGTGATGTGTAGTTTTCTTAGGAGAGAAGAGGGGCATTCGTTGTTTACTGTTTAGTGTTTTCAACTGCTTTCATGCATATTTTTGTTAGGGGGCAAAGCTTTCGTGGCAAGGTGCTTATATTTTTGTCCCATTGCTGCTTAGGATGGTCAATTTTGTTGTGCATTTTGTTTCGGTGAGTTAATTTCTTGCATTGTCGCATTGGCAACATTTCTTGCTTGCAATGTCCATCAATAGTGGCATTGTATTCAGTTGCACTAAGTTGTTGACTTTGGTTACTCTAATATTTTTCTCCGAAATTGGATGGTTTTGCATATGGTTTTTTTTTTTTAAATTGTATTAAGGGTTGGAAAGAGAAATTGTGAATTTTGTCTATGTTCATATAGTGTCGTCTACATCTGCCATGTATATGGATGGACTACATATAATCAAGATAAACAAAGATAGAAAAACAAAAAAGTAGAAAGTTAAACTGGAGGATGGGATAGCAAAGTTCATAGCAAAATGCAAAGAAAGTCATGATCAAAGATCAATAAATTAAAAATACATCCATATAAAATATCAACTGCAAGCCTATTTTAAGAAATTGATAACTGCTTGAACCACGAGAAGATCACATTTCAATTGCTTGGGAAGTTGACCTTGTCTTTCTAAAACTGCTTTCTTCATGTGTCTGAGTTTAGGGCTGATTCACCAAAATTCATAAGTTATAATAATCAAATATGACCATAACTAAAGCATTAAAGGAAAGTGAAAAATAAAACCTGTTGCTGCTCATAGCTTTCATAACTTCAATCATACATGTCTGGAAGGTTAGAAATATCTTGTTGACTTTCATTGGTGGATAGATCTCATATGCTCTCACAATAGCTGCAATAAGCTCATCATACGTTCTTGTTGACTCTTTATCTTTTATTGATTGAATGGCTCTAAAAAATCCAAGATCCAACACATTAAAATCCGGAGAATTTGGAGGTTGATTCATCAAACAAATATCAAAACCATCTTGGGTAATTGCTTGAGCAAACTGCTGACTGTTTTCAATAAGATGTGGACTTGTGTTATCTTGTTGAATGAAGATCGGTGTACCCAAGTCCTCTCTTGGTCACTTTGCCTTTATTGCCGGTGTAAGCTTCTCAATAAAATAAGATCTAAATATTTCTCTCGTTACTGAGATTATTGGTTTTGTTTCTAACGTTCCCGCAACTCTATTAACACTTGTTCTCTTAGCCGGCTCTCGGGTAACAAAAGGCCAACACCAATTTTACCGTAAAAAATACAGTTATCTTGGGAATCATATCTTGGTCGAGCAAAAGCCACCAATAACATAATCTTTTTAATGAAATTTTTGTTTGGAACCATGCGATTTGGATCTCGCTCATTTGATGACATATAAATACACGAGTTCTTCTTTGACATATAAAACCATTTTTCATAAACATGAACCATGTTACACATACCTTTAAAAGTTGAATCTTCTACTACGTTAACCTCTTCTAACATTGATAAACAAAAACGCAGTCGTGATTGCTTCTTTCTCTCATCCAAGTAAGGCCTTAGTTTACTCCGATGAAGTCGTATTTCTCCCAACTTTCGCTTCCTACACAATGTAGATTGACTCATCTCTAAAGCCTCATATAATGAGCTGAATGTTGTCCTATTCAACAAAGGTAGTGCACAAAAACGATCAAAATTAATTTCAACTCTCTTACACCCACAATGTTTTGTTCTCCTCTGACGAAAATCCCCAAAAACTTATTGATGCCTCCAAATCCGTTGTACAGTTCTTATGGACACAAAATATGCCAAAGCCACTGCTTTTGTCACTCCCTTTTTTAATTTTTCATCTTGACTCTTTTCTAGAAGGGCATGATATATGGCCATATGTGTATTGTTAGACGTAAAAATTCTTCTATCTTGATTCCCTTCTCCGCCCATAGTCTCTCCAGTGTCATTCTCTAACAAATCATTGGGTCAAAAGTTGGTAATCCTTGAAAAATTATCAAATAATGTATGCATACATTAAAATATAAAAATCAATAAAGATTAAGCTTAGCATTCTGATTTGGAAAAATCTGTCTCATCCATAGATTCATTGCTAAATTCCACATTTTCATCCGTAGTAGTCTCACCATCCACACTGTGATCTGTTGTAAGTACAGGAAAGTAAGTTAAATTTATGTCAAATTATTAGACCTCAGTTCAAAGTTCATAACAAAATCTATGCCAAAAAGTCACGCAACATATCATCTCCTCCTGGCCCCCATGAACGTTAATGGTTCCCCACCATTTTTTTTTGAGCAAACAAAATGTTCAAACAAAATCGGCTATCTAGTAAAATCAATAAAAAAAAAAAGATTCATATAGCCAAACAAACCTACAGTTATCAAAGAACATAAAAGCAAAACGATTTTCCATAAATCATTATAGCCTAACAAAACCGAAAGCACAAGCATCCCTCTTTCATAATTGCTTTTAAAAAAATTTGGATTAAGCTACCATATGCAAAAACTATATAAAGAATGCATTACGTACCATTATTTTCTTCAGAAAACGAAATTGGTTCTTGATTGAGATCCAATGTTGGATGCGTTGGTTGAGGCATACCATTACTCGGTGAACTTGGAGTGACATTGAGGTCGATGACGAAATTATCCATCGCAACATCGTTAACATCCTGCAAATGATTGTAGATTTTCCTTGGATTATTTCCATCTTCAATGTGTGATTGTATGAATTCAATATTTAAATCTATTTCATCAAGAGGGTGATGATAATTTGAAGCCATGTTAACAATAGCAAAATGATTGTTTTTTTTTCTTGAGAATATACTAGGCTATATAGCTAAATCTGTTAAGAGTACTTCAAAAATTTTGGTGGGAAATTTTTCATAGTTTTGGCAAAACAAGCCAAATTTTAAGTTTAAATTTTTAGATATGTGCTTGATTTGGTAGGAAATTTTCATTGTGGCAAAATTTCTTCAAATGATAATTAAGGAGATGACTATAGAAATTCCTTATCAAAGAAACCTTGGCCGACGACATTAGCTTTTTCTTCATCACTTTTATTCATTACCGGAGGAGTACTAATCAACTTCGACTTTCGGAATGGGACATTTGATAAAAAAAAAAAAAAAAAAACGCTTTAGATTACCTTTGTTTATGGTTGGTTAGCTGGAACAATAGAAACCTTGGGTGTGTGGGATACTGGGATTAGTAATTATAGTTAGCTGTAATATTGATGTTTGACTTGTGATAAAAACTAGAAATATTTAATTAAGGGTATGAAAGGGATTTAACACATAATTTTCTTGGAGTATCCAACCAATTATTGACTCCTTAGTTTATATGTCATTCCTTAAACGACTTACAAATTGAATTAGAAGGAGTACTAAAAGCTACTCCCAACATTTATATCTATGTCGAATCTTTTGTTTAGATGAAAACAAAGTTTGATTCATATCTATCTATAATCATAACCTCCATTATAACAAAACCACTTTTCTCCTAAAAAACAAGTGTCCTAATATCCTTAAAAGTCTCCTCACTCAAATCCATATAATTAAAAAAAAAATTAAAACAAAGGATAAAAAAAAGGCCATTCCTAAGCTAAACGACACTGTTTCCCCCAATTTTTTTTTCTGGGAAGCCAGACTTAACTAAACCATACCACTCCTCCTCTCCTAATGGTGGATAGTCACCTCAAATCTCACTTTCTCGGCAAATTTTGGTCTTCCCCTCTTCTAATCTATAATCCCACAAAACCTAGAATTCTTCTCTATTTCCTAATTCATAAAATCCACTCATAGTGCCTCAATCTAAATCCAGCTCATTGATGGCCGATTTACTACCGATTCAATACCAACACCTTACATACATGCGTTGCTAAATTGCTGCCATGAGATCTTCTCCTTCCCGTAAGAATTTTCTTTTTTAGATTTGTTTCTAATGAATAATTTTTTTTACCCCAATTTTCACATGACTGTAATTCATCAATTCATTCATGTTTGTGCTTCATCTTTATAAATTACCTTCGTGAATTAATTTTAATTTTTTTACCTCTATGTTGATCCCTCAGTTATCTCCGTCATTATAAATCAATACAACCGTCAAATACTCCACTATGCCAATACCTCCGCAAAACCGCAAGATACACTCCACTATGCCAATACCTCCGCAAAACCGCAAGATACACTCCATTATGCCAACATACAATTACTTGAATTTTGTATAAATGCTCCTTAATCGATATGTCATGTGTGAAATTTTATCGTGGCTTTCTTTCATGGGTCACCTCTAAAATACCACTCGCTTGCTAAACCTATATCATCACAAATTTGTAATAATTCAGCACCACACACTACTGCAATGGCTTCTTCTGCTTCTGAATTCTTCATCGATGATGTTGTGTCGACTGAAAATAATGGTCCTTTGGGAAACTTGCAGTCATCATATTAATCAGGCGCCAACACATAGATAAAGAAGGTAATTATCTATTTATGTTTTTTGTAATGTCACCTTCTCAAAAGTGAATTTAGTAATTTCCAGATGTGTTAAGACAATCTTCTCAATTCTGAGAGATTGATGGAGCAATAGAATGGAGGGTACATGTTGGTCCTCAATTGTCAGATATTTCATTCATTGAGGTTTTAACATGACGTTTGTTAACATGTTCTTATACACATATATTGGAGTGTTTGAAACAGTTTCTAATAAATTTTCAACTATTATTCGAACTCAATTCATAAAGTCCATTTGACTGAATATTGGCTATCTTGGATCCTTTTTGGCATACAAATGAATCTTTCTGTAAAGAGTACATGACCAATCATCAATTAAATACCTACATGATTCTTTTCAGGGCTAGCGGAGAACCTAAAGAGTTGATATGAATTCATCATATCAAGTGCAGAGCTCTGAATTACACATGGAAAAAAGGTACCTTAAAACTATAAATTCTGGAAATAAAGCGTTGTTGTAACCAGAAAATGCCCCTTCCGACAAAGTAGTATTCATTAAAATAGATTTATCTCCATCTAATAAGTATAGAGTTGCTAAAGATGCAATGATTATGTGTTTGCCTTTGCAATGAGATTGCATATTGTAATAATCATATGTGATTTTTGCTCGATTTTGGAAGCTTTTCTTTTAAATGTTTTTTTTTCTTTTCAACATTTTTTATATATGTCCATTCTTGACGTAATTGTTTATATTTCCAATTTTCTTTTTTACATTTTTAGTTAAAAAAATATCTAAACATGCACTTTAAAAATGATCCAAACAAATATGAAGAATTCCATTAGAACTGATTGCGTTATGATGATTTCTATCAGAATTGTGAGTTAATATTGCATTATGTTAAAATTTAAAAAACAATGAAAAAATTTAATTCTACTATATCGTTGTGATGGAGTAAATAAAGCGTTACTTTTGATTGATTTTGCCACCAACAAAATGACTTAACCCTCGCTAAACATTTGTTTACTATATTTAAAATTGTTAGAAACAAAAGATCTCATACACCCGTGCGAAGGTACGGGTCCAGAACTTAGTACTTCAATTTGTCCATTACTTCAATTTCCTTACACCCCACGATCCCCAAAACCACAATGAAAATAAACGACCAAAGCCAACTTGAGGATAGTGGGCATATTGTTGTTTCTGTATTCATTCGTAAAATGCATCAGAGTCACCGGCAACAAAAGCGTAATCAAAGTTTCCGGCTGCATGGAAAAGTATTAGAGCCAATGCGACAGAAGTTGAACACCGCGACCCTAAATCACGGGCTTAGGCTATTTATAATTTCCGAACTTTAATTCTTAAACTATCAGTAGAAGCCCACGTTCTTTCCTCCATCAAATCTTCACGTTCACACCAAGAAAGAAATTCAGTTAGTTCTTTTGCAAATCAAGAATTCAAATTTGACGCAGAAAGCAAACACAACAACACAAACACAACAATTGTCATATTCTATAAGGATCAGCGGGTTATGCTATAAGGATCAGGAGTTATTGGTGGAGATTTACTTGGATTTCCAATTAGTTTTTCATATTCTTTTGGCTAAATATACTTGCCAAACGTGAAGGTATTAGTCATCTTGCTCTGTTGATTGACATGGCGTTTCTTTCTGTTGATTCCATTGATCATGCGGTATTTTTTTTATTGAGTAATTGTCTTCCGTTTTTCGTCGATGCTTGAAAACCATCAAATTTCAGAGACAAGACAATCAAAAAATTTGTGGAAGCAGCACACCATCAGTGAGTTTTGCTATCCTTCATTTGAATTTTGAGATTTTCGATTTTGAATGGTCTTTTGAATGTTGTACACATATATTTAGTCAAATGTATTTAGCATTCACATGTAAATGTGTTTTGTAAAGTTTCGGTTTATACGGTATAAAGTTCGAAAATTAGGCCAACATGTCAATTTCGTATTGTCAATTGTGTTACTAATGTATATGTCTTAGAGTACCATTTGCTTTTTTCGGTCCCTACAGTTATGAAATGTTTGCATATTTCTAAAGACCATCCTTCTTTCATTATATCTTTCTTTTATAGGAACACAAATATACTTTGGGTGTGTTCAGCTACATGTTTTTGTGATTCAATTGGCATTAGAATATTTTGGAATTCAATTGGCATTCAAGATATTTTAATTCAATGCCAATTTATCCGTTCGGCAAAATCATGAAATTGACCACAAATTCAATTAGGATTCCAATTCTCTGTTCGGATAGTCAAGTAATTGAGTTGGTTTTGTCTTTTACTTATTTTTTACAAAAATAAAGAAAAAGGAAAAAATTTGATTTTGAAATTATTTCAACTTTTAATTTTTGTTTTAAATAGTATCATTTCTAGAATAATATATTTTGTTTTAAATAGTATCATTTCTAAAATAATATATTTTATTTTAAATAGTAACTTTTAATTCTATCATAAAATTATAACAATAATGCTTACCCACTGGAACATAGGCAGCAGAAGAGAACAAACTTTACTCTTCTCACCATCCCGAATATTGTACTAATATCGAATTGTAATGTTAAACAAGAAAGCAGCTCTGTGGTAAGGTGGACTTGAACAAATAATGTGTCTGGATGATTCTTCAAATAACAGTTTTCTCATAAACATATTACTTTTGAAAAAAAAAAAAAGGGAAGGCTGCATGATCTCCCCCGCTCAGATGAAACAGTCACGAAACAAGAAACTAAAAAGAGAATGTTCAATCTCTACTTAGGAATTGTCTAACACCACTTGACACATCAAACACAAACTGCAGCCAAGTTATGAGAGCAACATTTGGATCTATAGGTAGTTCTTAAACTACTCTTGGGCATGCTCTGGTGGTGTCCAGCTTCAACAGAGGCAACTTATATTTCATTTCCAACAAGTCTTTCATGTCTTCATTATCAACGACCATCGTCCACTTCCCATAAGCTCCAACGTGGTAAGCTTAAAATGAAGATTGAAATAAACTCATCAAGGCGGGGTGCAACAAACACATAACAGAGTAACCGTCTGGACCATTTTTTTAGTTTTTGCATTGGGAACTATGTAACAAGCTGATTAAACAACTTGAAAAGAAAAATTACAAAAACTCTTTACTGTGTGAAACCAAACACAGGGTTGACAAACCATACCACTAGCAAAACCGCAGTACTCTTTAGCTCCTATTGCACCCATGCAAATCGCCCTTCTACCAACTTCTGCAGCTTCATCAATGGACATATCGTGACTATCACTAGAAAAGCAAGGATTGACTGAAAAATAGGATGACTAAAATGACTATA